TTTCTAATCTCGAAGGCACATTTTTTCTTCTGTGACTTGCGTTATTCACATGTAACGATGTGGCAGTAATAGAGATGCCTGTATTCTCTGAAAAATCATCAAACGATGGGTCTACCCAATCTGTTACCTGAAAAAAAGAAATGTAAATATTATATTTTCTGCCTCTATTCCCTATGTAAGTAAGCTACAAAAAATATATTCATATACTTGCAATATCTCAAACAAAAATCTCACAACTTAATTCTTTAAGTAAATCTGGCTTTATATCTATTAGTTATTTTTTTACTTCATGCTAGGTACAAATGTATACTTGTCCACTTAACCAGGATAATGATGAATGCCATCTAAAGGAATATAGAATACAAACGTAATTCTTTTTACTAATTACAATATTCCCAGTATAGAATAGACTGATTATTCTTAAACTTATTGGTAGACTAAAACAAGAATATTAAAATTAAGTACCAAAAAAGAAGCAAAACTAAATAAGGAAATAGAATGTTAAAATCTATATATTTTAACCATAAGAGTGATACTTCTGCCTTGACCAGATTAATACATTCACAAACTAAGAACCACTGCATACTGATCCAAATAATCCTTATCAGCTTTAACTTTTATGAAGGTACAGTCTAAGAATCCTGATGCTATGAATAATTTGTTCCTTTTTTAAGTTTATTTATTGTCAAAGAGAAAGAAAGCACCAGTGGGAGAGGTTCAGAGAGAGAGAGGTAAGAGAGAGAACCCCAAGCAGACATAGCATTGCCGGCACAAAGCCCAATGTGGGGCTCCAACTCATGAGCCGTGAGATCAGGACCTGCGATGAAGGCGTATGCTCAACTGAATGAGCCACACAGGCACCCCGCTATGAATAATTTCTAATTACGACTTGATTATATTTCTCTTTAGCCTGTAAAGCAAATACTATTTTCAATAAAGGGAGGCAGGCTTTCCAAGGAGGATGATCTGTTTCTTAGATTTGTCTAGGAAAACAGAATTGGGATAATACAACAGGAACATCAGTGAGTTCTATTTCATGTGCTTCTGGTCTCTAGAAACTGTTGGTCCCTCTACAGTTCCCTTTATCATTAACTTTTCTTTAGAATCCTTTGTAAGGATACACAGAGAAAAATGACGAATTAAGCAATTTAAACCTAAAAATATTTAGGGGTGTCTGGGTGGCTCAGTTGGTTAAGCATCCAACTCTTTTTTATTTATTTTTATTTATTTATTTTTTTCAACGTTTATTTATTTTTGGGACAGAGAGAGACAAAGCATGAACGGGGGAGGGACGGAGAGAGAGAGGGAGACACGGAGAGAGAGAGAGGGAGACACAGAATCGGAAACAGGCTCCAGGCTCTGAGCCATCAGCCCAGAGCCGACGTGGGGCTCGAACTCACGGACCGCGAGATCGTGACCTGGCTGAAGTCGGACGCTTAACCGACTGCGCCACCCAGGCGCCCCAAGCACCCAACTCTTGATTTCGGCTCAGGTCATCATCTCACACTCGTGAGATCGAGCCCCACGAAGGGCTCTATGCTGACAACGCAGAGCCTGCTTCAGATCCTGTGTCCCTCTCTCTCCACCCTTTCCTGGCTTGTGTGCTCTTGCGCTCTCTCAAACATAAGCAAACATTAAAAAAAACAAAACAAAACCTAAAAGTATTTGGGAGTATTAAAAAGTTCTTTTTAGTAACTAAAATTTAAAAAAAAAATTTTTTTTTTAACGTTTATTTATTTTTGAGACAGAGAGAGACAGAGCATGAACGGGGGAGGGGCAGAGAGAGGGAGACACAGAATCTGAAACAGGCTCCAGGCTCTGAGCTGTCAGCACAGAGCCTGACGCGGGGCTCGAACTCATGGACTGCGAGATCATGACCTGAGCCGAAGTCAGCTGTTTAACCGGCTGAGCCACCCAGGCGCCCCAGTAACTAAAATTTTTAAGATGAATTTTCTTAACATTCCTACAGTGTAAATCTAGAAAAACCTAGCTTAGTACTGGCTTTTGAAATTCCGTGTCTGGCTAACAAGGGGAAACCTAGGGTACATTTTCATTGAATACTCAGCCATAGTTGTGTACCACATATTAGACAATGCTAAGGAAATGCAAGTTGAGATTTAGAAGTATTTTAGGAATGAAAGTCACACTGCACTCCCACTTTAAGGACAAAAAGTTAGGAATATTATCACCAGTGGGTAAAGGAATGAAGACCTGTGGGAAAAAAATTCAGTCATAGCCACCTAATTCATTTCCTCTTCTCCAAGACTGTTAGTGGCACTACAATTTTGGCTCTTTTCTTGTATTTTAAGAGTACGTAAAAATATCATTTGCTATAGTATACCTTTTGATAGCAAATCTGATCTCGCAATTCTTTTTTTTTTTTTTTTTAATGTTTATGTATTTTTGAGATCAGGGGAAAGGCAGAGAAAGAGGGAGACAAAGGATCCAAAATGGGCTCTGCGCTCAGAGCAGACAGCCCAAATGCAGACTCGAACTCACAAACCACATGATATCACGATGTGAGCTGAAGTCAGGTGCTTAACTGACTGGGCCACCCAGGCGCCGTAATTCTATTTTCTTATATGTGTATTTATTTTTGAGAGAGAGAGACAGAGACAGAGAGAGAAAGAACGACTGTGCGAGAGCACAGGAGGAAGTGAGGGGCAGAGAGAGGGGCAGAAAGAGAATCCCAAGCAGGCTCTACACTGCCACTGAGAACCTCACTCAAGGGCTTGAACTCACAAATCATGAAATTATGACCTGAGCCGAAATCAAAATCAGAGCCTTAAAAAACTGAGCCACCCAGGCACCCCGATCTCATAATTCTGATCTGCAGGTTACTTGTACAATTTACAGTTTTATTTCTTATATAAATGTGGACTCCCATCTACTGGAAAAAAAAAAAAGACTGAGAAAGAGCAAAGTTTAGTCACTTATTTAAGATCAAAGAAAAATAAGACCCACCACTAGAAAATAGGTATCCTGCAAATGAGTATGATACAACCTGACCCCCATCCTACTCTGCCCACTAGCCTTAGTGAGAACTAAGGTTTCTAAGAGGCACGGCTTGTTGTTACACTTTAACACCAACTAAGACTCATATATTTCTTTTTCTTCTACTGACCTTTCATTTAAGAGTTTTCAGGCTTTTCTTTGCAACTGAGATTATATAATCACTTTTTTAAAATTGTGGTTTTAGTCACTTCACAACTTACTATCACAATTTTTAGATCATTAATTACATCACATACTGGGCATTGTTACTTTGATGGCAATAATAAGTCATTAAGAACATACACAAAATTTACCATTCTTTTTGGACAATTATTACATGGCCATTTTAGTGTGTCATACCTTTGTGGAAGATACCTTTGGTCTAAGAAAAGTTTTTGACATTATAAACTTTAATAGTTCCCATCCGTAGTATACAACCTGTAGTACATTAAAGTATACTTCACCTAGAGAAAAAAAAGAAAAAAATTTCAAAATAGGAAAAACTGTAAAATAGAGGTATGGTGACATATACCATTGTAATCAACAGTATAAGAGACGTTCAAAAACTAGTGAAAGACAACATAGCAAATATATATAACGAAGTCAAAATGCTACAACAAAGTGTACTTTCAATTACTACAACAATGTCAAATAAACTACTTGTGTTAAGCGTTGTCTTTCACATGTACTCAATAATATATTAGAGAAAACAGAAAAAAACACATACTTCACATTTTGTCAGTAAAAAAAAAAAATCAGACAATTCTATTTGTGTTCTAATGCTGAAAATTAATATTTCCTTCATTTTAAATTACCACTGCAGGGTTTTTTTCCCCACAAAATTAAAAAAAAAAAAACTGACCATATAACAAATTCATACTTCCACTTATTTTGGAAAAAGAGTTTAAATCTAACTGTATAATAACTGTAACTGTTTTCCTTAATTGAACATACTAGGAAATTTGCGGGTAACACTGTATTTTCTGACTTTAAGAATTCTTTAATGTTTATATAAACTAGTGAATTCACCAATTTTAAATTAGCTAGAAGCAAAGTTTAAGGTCTGCAAACTTATAAATTGGAAAGTGTATTGGGCTTTATGGTTTGGATGTACACAGTTTATATGTGTAAACGATACACGATAAAACAAACTGTACACCCCCCCTCCCCCAACACACACAAATTGTTCATAATTAGAGAGGTTTTTGCTTTGGAGTTTCAGAGATACATAGGTGGAAAAAAACACCTGTTGGATAAATATAGCTGGCAGGTCGAAATAAAAGATGCAGACTGTTTTTACGATCAGGACTCTGGTCGCTCTTTGGAAACAAGACTGACAATTACCTCCTTTAAAAAAGAAAAGTAACTGTCCCAGATGATGGATGCCAGTTTCCTGAAATGAGACGTCAGAAGTAGAAAAGACCTTCAAGAATATTTCTGGCCTACTCACCCTCCCACCCCCCGCCACACACACTGCGGGGAGATACTAAGACCAGACATTCGTCAAACGTCAAAGCTACTAATCAGCCGAGATGCGTTCGCTTGCCCCGACCCCAGGCCAGAGCTCTGCACCCCCACCCTCTCATCTCCAAATGGGATGGGCAGGTCGGGAGGAGGAGCGAAGAGAGCTCGGGGAGGCGTTAAGGCAGAGATGGGTTCGAGTCTCTAGAACATATATATACTACAGCCGCAGCCGCGGCGGCCTTACTTTCCGGGAGCTGCATCCCCCTCGTGGGCGGAGAGGAGCGGAGGAGCCCAAGCTCTCCACCAGCGGAAGGGCAACCACCTGGCCCTACCAGGGCTCAGCGCCGAGCCTCTCAGAGGTCCCGCCTCCCGGGGACCTTTTAGACCCGTCGGCGCTTCCGCGACACAGGCAGAAGGGCGGCCGCCAACGGCGCCTGTGACTTAGGCATCTACCGCATTGCCTGACCCGAAACGCGGACCTGACCTGTGCCCCAGCCTGGGACACTGCACTGAAAACGTGCTATAGAAGGCCAGGTAACCAATGTTCAGTGACTAGGCGGTAGACATGGGCCGCGAGCGCCGCGCAGGGCCTCGAGAACCCCGAGGCCGCTGGCGCTTGCCGCAGCTCGCCCCTTTCAGCTCCTCCCTGTCGTGCGTAGAGTGCGTGAGCCAAGGCGCCCAGAGCCAGCGCGGTGAGGACCATGTTGCTTCCGAATATCCTGCTGACCGGTCAGGCGCGCGGCGGGGAGACGCTGGGCTGCGGGCAGGCTACGGACCTGAGTGCTGTGGGGCGTCGGGCGCCAGAAAGGGTGCCGTGCCGTTCGGTGTTTCGAGGCTAGTGGAGGGCGGTGCGGCGTGGCTGTGGTCCCGGCCTCTAGACCTGGTCCTCCGACCGTTGCGGGAGGCGGGGTGGGGGCGGGGAACGTTATTCTTTTGGCCTGAGGTCACTCGGTGAGGTAGGGAGAGAGAGAGAGAGAGAGACCTGTCCTGGTCCCTTTTCTGGCAAGAAATCTGATTCTGCCGAATCTTTGGGAATCTGGTTTTTGTTTGTAAAATGGCTGTTGATTTTTTTCTTTGGTAGGGTTGTGTTTAGAGTTTTAAGCGAGATAATGTAAGGTAGTCATTTTGTATTTAATGCTGGATGCCTCGTCCTTAGGCCTTTCTTGGCCATGTTTCATTTTCCTTGGTGTCTGATAATCACTTTTGGGTAAAAGGGTTCGGATATTTGTGACATAGTTTGGTTAACTTGCTGTGTACGTTGAGTTAGCGTCAGAAGCTCTTTTCTATTTGTTTGTTTTTTTTTCCTTTCAAAAAGAAAAGGCACCTACTGAGCATCCCTGATCGTTTCTCTTGTTTAGATGCACTAAAGTTCCTGGGATGATAGATTCGTCCCTTCTCGGTCTTTGTACCCGTATGCAGGGCGTTTGTTATACGGGAGGCCTACTGAACTTTTGCATTATGATTTTAAAGACTATTGTTAGCTGTTTAAATGTTTATTAAATTGTAGTTAATAGCATCTTGGGGCATTCATGCAAAAGTCAAATGGGTGTAGATGGTGTTGGAACACAAAAATTGAGACGCTCTTCCTGGCAACAAAGCAGTAGAAGTTTATTATTTAACAAAACATAATCTTGTTGACAGCGCCCACGTCTTGTCAGTTTTTGAAAGCTACAGATAGTAATCTGTTTACCTATTATGATTCCTTAGGGGACGACACTACAACTTCTGAACTGTTGGGGTCAGCCAGGGTCCTGGTATTTTAGTATCCAGCCGTACTGTCAAAAACCTAAAGGTGAACATTTTATGGAAAACACAGTAGTCCAGGAAAAAACAAACAAACACAGGATAGTCCAGGGTTCAAACTTGGTGTATTACACTGGACTTGTAAAAGTTCTTGTCCTGTAAATGGAGGCATGATTTGTCTCTGTTATCTTTAATTATTATAATGACCAAGTTTTATAACTTCACTGGCTCTAACCTGTTCTGAGCTGAAAATTACACATTTGATTATTTTGAAATAAAATAGATGTAAAAAAAGGAAAAGTGAAGAACAATGCCTAGTACTGCTATTTATCTGAAAGGCAATGAACGTATGGTGTGTTTATTATATAAAGATGTGTGTAATACATATGTAATATATATACATATGCACATATGTGTATATATATGGGTTGCCATATATATAAATACACATGTGTATACACAAACACATATGCGTTAGGATTTCTTGAGAAAGATAAAAGAAACTGCTTTTCAGTGTTTACCTCTAAGGAAGAGGTAGTGGAGCCAGTAGTGGAAATGAGATTTGTCCCTCATACTGGTTAAATTTTTTCCATGAATAATTTCTTTTTTAAAAATGAAAGCAAATAAATGATGGTAATTTGAGATCACTAGTGTTATTATTGGAGTATCTGTTATGGTGGCAGGCAGTCTGTGAATTGGTATCAGAATCACCCAAGCCTTACTCCTGATAGATCAGATATACTTGGCAAGATTCTGCTATCCAGCAGGCTTTGAGTAACTTTGATTAGATCATAGTGTATAGTAATTCACAGAGGATTGCTAATTAGGAAATTTTTCATTTCAGTTGTTAAGCACTTTAAGAAGGGTAGATAGGTGGCTGAAGTCTAACAAGTATTTTATGAACAGTATTCTTCTGTGGCTTGTCTTACAGGTACACCAGGGGTTGGAAAAACCACCCTAGGCAAAGAACTTGCATCAAGATCAGGACTGAAATACATTAATGTGGGTGATTTAGCTCGAGAAGGTAAGGGATACTTTGGTGCTAGTTTTTGTTTTTTTTGTTTTTTTAAAGAGAGTAGATAATGGAGTTACTACTATATTTGTGAGAGGTACAAAAAGCAGAGACAGTGCTTTTAAGGAATTGATGCTCTGTTGAGGACCCATAGAAAGCGAAAATAAGTGTATAATACTGTGTTCTGGTTGTTTTGACTGTTACATCCCATCCTCCCCTGCCCTCTTGGCCAATAGTTTTGTGTTTTGTTTTGGGTTTTTGTTTTTTTTTTGTTTTTTTTTTCTTTTTTGAGTGGTAAGAATTGGGAATGTTTCCATGAAGAGATGGGATTTGGGGAGAATGTTTTTGAGATGGACAAACACATAAAAGTGTGGGTACTACTAACCGTATCTGTGGAGATAGTATATTGCTCTCACTGGAAGGACACATTATTTTGAACTCAGTCAGTAGGACATGATGTTCTTTTTTTTCTTAGATTCATTTGATAGTTGCATGCCTGCACACAAGTGAACATTATTCTGAAGTGATAAATGTTTTTATTTATTTTACCGTTTCCCCCCAGCCTTTTATCACTCCCTTATTTGTGTCTTCATTTTTGTATATCCTGTAATGATTTGGATAGGGTGGAAACTCCATAAATTTAAGTAAAGGGGACTTTTAAGTGTGCCTCATTAAAATTAAAAAGATTTAATATTTAAAAATTTTAAATATATTTTCACAATTTTAACAGTATTTAAAATTTAGAAAGTTCCTGACAGTTGCTACTAAAGTAACTATTTCAGGTTTGATCTAATGTACATATTTTTTTCAAATGATCTAAAGTCTGATCAACGGATATCATGGATTCTGGCAAGATGGCTTCTCCCAAGAGCATGCCGAAAGATGCACAGATGATGGCACAAATCCTGAAGGATATGGGGATTACAGAATATGAGCCAAGAGTTATAAATCAGATGTTGGAGTTTGCCTTCCGATATGTGACCACAATTCTAGATGATGCAAAAATTTATTCAAGCCATGCTAAGAAAGCTACTGTTGATGCAGATGATGTGCGATTGGCAATCCAGTGTCGTGCTGATCAGTCTTTTACCTCTCCTCCCCCAAGAGATTTTTTATTAGATATTGCAAGGCAAAGAAATCAAACTCCTTTGCCCTTAATCAAGCCATATTCAGGCCCCAGGTTGCCACCTGATAGATATTGTTTGACTGCTCCAAACTATAGACTTAAGTCTTTACAAAAAAAGGCATCTACTTCTGCGGGAAGAATAACAGTTCCGCGGTTAAGTGTTGGTTCAGTTACTAGCAGACCAAGTACTCCCACGCTTGGCACGCCAACCCCACAAACCATGTCTGTGTCAACTAAAGTAGGGACTCCAATGTCCCTCACAGGGCAAAGGTTTACAGTACAGATGCCCACTTCACAGTCCCCAACTGTAAAAGCATCAATTCCTGCAACATCTGCAGTTCAGAATGTTCTAATTAATCCATCATTAATTGGGTCCAAGAACATTCTTATAACCACTAACATGGTGTCATCACAAAATACTGCCAATGAATCAGCAAATGCATTGAAAAGAAAACGAGAAGATGATGATGATGATGATGACGATGATGATGATGACTATGATAATTTGTAATCTAGCTTTGATGCTTGTAACATGTGTACTTGGTCTTGAATCCATTGTACTGAGATTAAACATGCATGCTGGGTGTTTTCATGTTGTGTTGTAGAACATGTAAATTGTATTTAATGAGTAAATATAGTTACCCTCTCTGAGTTGTTGGATTTTCTTTAATAGGATTAGTAATGGTTTTTCATCAGCCTTCAAGTGTAAAAAATAAAGTTGTTCATCACTTTGTTGGTACTTTGGCAATTATGTTTTTAGAAGCAGTTTTCTTTGTGTCACCAACAGGAATAACCCTTAAAACAACTTGAAGTTGTTGTGGCCTATTCATTACCACTAGAGTGTTACTTCTGGTGTGTTCAGATGTTTAGACCACAGTATGATCCCTAGTGTATAAGTCACTCTCATAGAACTATGTCTCTTTTGGAGAGACCACTTCATCTGTTTTGATGAATAATCTGTCAATTATTAACTTCTTCCTAGGTCCCATTTTTTTATCTCTTTGGTTGTATTTAAGGACCTTTGATGGGTCTCCCATTATCGTTCCACTTTAAAATTGCAAAAAAATTTTTTCCAGTAGGGCACCTGAGTGGCTCAGTCCTTAAGCATCTGACTTCGGCTCAGCTCATGATCTCATGGTTGGTGAGCTTGAGCCCCATGTCGCATGAGCCCTGCTTCAGGTGAGCCCCATGTTCTCCTTCTCTCTCTCTCTCTCTCCCC